CTTTTTCTGAAGAAGGGTCTACGCCCGAAACGTCAGCCTTCCTGCTCCTCTGATGCTCCTTGGCCTGCTGTGTTCATCCAGCTCTACACCTTGTTATCTCTAGTTACTCAGCCATCTGAGGAGAGAGATTAGGTCAGGTGACCAAAAGCTTGGCCAAAGAGTTGGTTTACAGGAGGAGAGTGAGGTAGCGAGGGGGAGAATTGTAGGAAAGGGAATTCCAGAACTTGGGGGCCTGAGCAACTGGAGGCACAACTATCCCTGCTGCAGCAATTATAATTGGGAAGGCATAAGATATATCAGAATTGACTGGAAAACATTGATACCAAGACTGTACAATCCCAGATTTCCATTTTGCTATCATTTCACACAGCCACAGAATCCCTACAGTGTGGAAACATGCCATTCGGCCCAACAAGTCCACACCAGCCCTCTGTAGAGCATCCCCACCCAGACCCATTCCCCTGCCCCTGGATTTCCCATAGCTAACCCACACATCCCTGGACATTACAGGTAATTTAGCATGGCCAATCCAACTAGCCTGCACATCTTTGGACTGTGGGAGAAAACCCACACAGACATGGGGAGAATGTGCAAACTCCAGATGGTCACCTGAGGCTGGAATTGAACCCAAGTCCCTGGTGCAGTGAGGCAGCAGTGCTAACCACTGAGCCACCATACTGCCTTGTACAAAACAATTTTTTTGTGCCAACATAGCAATCTTAAAATTTTTTTTGTTTGTGTTCCATCATGAGTCTAAAAAATCTGGATTGGTATGGTGGCTCAGTGGTTAGCATGACTGCCTCACAGCACCAGGGAGCTGGGTTCAATTCCCCCCTCAGGTGACTGTCTGTGTGGAGTTTGCACATTCTCCCTGTGTCTGCGTGGGTTTCCTCCCACAGTCCAAAGATATGCAGGATAGGGTGGGATTGGCCATGGGAAATTGGCCTGTAATATCCAGGGATGTGAAGGCTAAGTGAATTAGCCATGGGAAATAAAAACCAAAAGAACTGCAGATGCTGTAAATCAGGAACAAAAAACAAAGTTGCTGGAAAAGCACAGCAGGGTCACCAAACTCAAAACATTAACTCTGTTTTCTCCTTCATAGATGCTGCCAGACCTGCTGAGCATTTCCAGCAACTTCTGTTTTTGTAGCCATGGGAAATATTAGGATAGGTGGGGTGGGGTGGGGTGGGGTGGTTGCCGAGTGGGATGCTCTTTGAAGGGTTCCTAGAATCTCTACAGTGTGGAAACAGGCCCTTCGGCCCAACAAGCCCACACCAACCCTCAGAGGACCCACCCAGACCTATCCTCCTATAACCTACCTAACATACACATCCCTGAACACTATGGGCAATTTAGCATGGCCAATCCACCTAACCTGCACATCTTTGGACTGTGGGAGGAAACTGGAGCACCCGGAGGAAACCCACGCAGACATGGGGAGAATGTGCAAACTCCACACAGACAGTTGCTCGAGGGTGGGATCGAACTTGGGTCCCTGGCGCTGTGAGACAGCAGTGTTAACCATCGTGCCACCCTATGCAGACTCACTGGGCCAAATGGCCTCTTTCCACACTGTTCAATAACCAAACCTTCTTTGAGTGTTCCTTCAAAAAAAAAGCCAGTGGTACTTGTAGACCAGAGATAGTAGGAACTGCAGATGCTGGAGAATCCGAGACAACAAGGTGCAGGGCTGGATGAACACAGCAGGCCAAGCAGCATCATAGGAGCAGAGAGGCTGACGTTTCGGGCCTAGACCCTTCACCATGTTGTTTCACTGCTGTCAGCTGTAAACAGCATTTTTTCAATATTATGAATTCTGACGTCAAAGCTTCACAGTCAAAAATTTCCATTAATCTGTAGAGATCAATAATTAAATTGTCTAAGAACTCCCCTTTTTATTGAATTCTTCTAGTAAAACTTGCTTGTTCAAGAATTTTATTTGTCTTGAGGTGAATGTGATTGTCAAAAGTTTGCACAACTTTATCAGAAGTGTCTGTTGTTTCTTTTATTTTTTGGTGAACTATAAAGTCACCAGCTATGGTTCCAAATCAATGAAGGATTAGAAGGATGAGAGTGGGATCTGATTGAAACTCAGAGAATACTGAGAGACCTGGATTGAGTGGGACGTGAAGAAGATGTTTCCACTATAAGGAGAGATTAGGACCCAAGGGTGCAGCCTCAAAGCCTTTAGAACTGAGATGAGGAAGAATTTCTTCAGCCAGAAGGTGGTGAAGCATTGGAACACTCATTGCTGCAGAGGGCTGTGGAGGCCTAGTCATTGATTTAGGAAATCTGGTCAGCATGGACGAGTTGGATCCAGAGATAGGTTTGTGATTAATAAGGGAATCAAAGATTACGAGAAGGCAGAAGAATGGGTTTGAGAAACATATCAGCCATGATTGAATGGCAGAGCAGACTCGATGGAGAAAGTAGGTTTGTGGGCTGCTGTTTGAGGATAAATCCACATGTGACATGTAGCAGTCATTTAAAGTCCAGTTGGTCAGATTTCAGGACCAGCCTGTTCCTGTGAGGATGAAAGATAAAAAATGGCAAGATTCAGGAATCCTGGATGTCAAGAAATATTGAAAGATTAGTCAAAAGGAGAAAAAGAAGCACATTCTAAGGTTTACAAAATTGAAAGCAGACAAGGCCCTTGTGGAATGGAAAGGAAGCAGGAAAGAATTTAAACAAGGAATTAGGAGGGCTAAAAAGGGCCACGAGATTCAGGAGAATTCCAAGGCATTTCATTTGGATGTTAGGAGAAAGAGGGAGGCTGGGGTAGGGTAGGTCCACTCGAACACAGAGAAGGGATTTATATGTGAAGTCATAGGAGGTGAGTGAGGTCCTTAATGAGTACTCCACATCAGTATTCACCAGGGAGAAGGACCTGGATGATGGTGAGATTAGGGAGGTGTATGTTAATATTTTAAGGCATGCCAATATTAAGAAGGAGGTCATAGAGTCATAGATATGTACAGCATGGAATCAGACCCTTCAGTCCAACTCGTCCATGCTGACCAGATATTCTACAATAATCTAGTCCCATTTGCCAGCATTTAGCCCATATCCCTCTGAACCCTTCCTATTCATATACCCATCCAGATGCCTTTTAAATGTTGTAATTGTACCAGCCTCCAGCATTCCC